CCTTAGCGTCTCTTCCTTAGCGTCTCTTCCTTAGCGTCTCTTCCTTAGCGTCTCTTCCTTAGCGTCTCTTCCTTAGCGTCTCTTCCTTAGCGTCTCTTCCTTAGCGTCTCTTCCTTAGCGTCTCTTCCTTAGCGTCTCTTCCTTAGCGTCTCCTCCTTAGCGTCTCCTCCTTAGCGTCTCTTCCTTAGCGTCTCCTCCTTAGCGTCTCTTCCTTAGCGTCTCTTCCTTAGCGTCTCTTCCTTAGCGTCTCCTCCTTAGCGTCTCCTCCTTAGCGTCTCCTCCTTAGCGTCTCTTCCTTAGCGTCTCTTCCTTAGCGTCTCTTCCTTAGCGTCTCCTCCTTAGCGTCTCCTCCTTAGCGTCTCCTCCTTAGCGTCTCCTCCTTAGCGTCTCCTCCTTCGTCATCCCCGAGCAGTACTGTATATCTTGGTGTATACATGCAGAGTCATGGCGAATACATGCATACATGCCGGATATATACTGTAAATAATGTACACATACATTCATGTTGTATACTGCACGGTATATACATATGTATATACTGTATATATATATACCTACATGTTGTATACATACCTATATACGTGCTGTATATATACCTATATACGTGACAGCTGTCTAACTCCCAGGTACCTATTTACTGCTAGGTAACAGGGGCATCAGGTGATTGACGTCCTCGTCCTGAGGTGATTGACGTCCTCGTCCTGAGGTGATTGACGTCCCCGTCCTGGGGGTGATTGACGTCCCCGTCCTGGGGGTGATTGACGTCCCTGTCCTGGGGTGATTGACGTCCCCGTCCTGGGGGTGATTGACGTCCCCGTCCTGGGGTGATTGACGTCCCCGTCCTGGGGTGATTGACGTCCCCGTCCTGAGGTGATTGACGTCCCCGTCCTGGGGGTGATTGACGTCCTCGTCCTGAGGTGATTGACGTCCTCGTCCTGAGGTGATTGACGTCCCCGTCCTGGGGGTGATTGACGTCCCCGTCCTGGGGTGATTGACGTCCCCGTCCTGGGGTGATTGACGTCCCCGTCCTGGGGTGATTGACGTCCCCGTCCTGGGGTGATTGACGTCCTCGTCCTGAGGTGATTGACGTCCTCGTCCTGAGGTGATTGACGTCCTCGTCCTGAGGTGACGTCCCCGTCCTGAGGGTGATTGACGTCCTCGTCCTGGGGATTGACGTCCCCGTCCTGGGGTGATTGGCGTCCCCGTCCTGAGGGTGATTGACGTCCCCGTCCTGGGGTGATTGACGTCCCCGTCCTGGGGTGATTGACGTCCCCGTCCTGGGGTGATTGACGTCCCCGTCCTGGGGTGATTGACGTCCCCGTCCTGAGGGTGATTGACGTCCCCGTCCTGGGGTGATTGACGTCCCCGTCCTGAGGGTGATTGACGTCCCCGTCCTGAGGGTGATTGACGTCCCCGTCCTGGGGTGACTGACGTCCCCGTCCTGGGGTGATTGACGTCCCCGTCCTGGGGTGACTGACGTCCCCGTCCTGAGGTGACGTCCCCGTCGTCCCTCTGTCCTGGGGTAATTGACGTCCCCGTCCTGGGGTGACTGACGTCCTCGTCCTGAGGTGATTGACGTCCTCGTCCTGGGGGTGATTGACGTCCCCGTCCTGGGGTGATTGACGTCCCCGTCCTGGGGTAATTGACGTCCCCGTCCTGGGTAATTGACGTGAATTGACGTCCCCGTCCTAGGGTGACTGACGTCCTCGTCCTGAGGTGATTGACGTCCTCGTCCTGGGGGGGGTGATTGACGTCCCCGTCCTGGGGTAATTGACGTCCCCGTCCTGGGGTAATTGACGTCCCCGTCCTGGGGTAATTGACGTCCCCGTCCTGGGGTGACTGACGTCCTCGTCCTGAGGTGATTGACGTCCTCGTCCTGGGGGTGATTGACGTCCTCGTCCTGGGGGTGATTGACGTCCCCGTCCTGGGGTGATTGACGTCCCCGTCCTGGGGTGATTGACGTCCCCGTCCTGGGGTGATTGACGTCCCCGTCCTGGGGTGATTGACGTCCCCGTCCTGGGGTGATTGACGTCCCCGTCCTGGGGTGACTGACGTCCTCGTCCTGAGGTGATTGACGTCCTCGTCCTGAGGTGATTGACGTCCCCGTCCTGGGGTGATTGACGTCCCCGTCCTGGGGTGATTGACGTCCTCGTCCTGGGGTGATTGACGTCCTCGTCCTGGGGTGATTGACGTCCCCGTCCTGGGGTGATTGACGTCCCCGTCCTGGGGTGACTGACGTCCTCGTCCTGGGGTGATTGACGTCCTCGTCCTGGGGTGATTGACGTCCCCGTCCTGGGGTGATTGACGTCCTCGTCCTGGGGTGATTGACGTCCTCGTCCTGGGGTGATTGACGTCCCCGTCCTGGGGTGATTGACGTCCCCGTCCTGGGGTGACTGACGTCCTCGTCCTGGGGTGATTGACGTCCTCGTCCTGGGGTGATTGACGTCCCCGTCCTGGGGTGATTGACGTCCCCGTCCTGGGGTGATTGACGTCCCCGTCCTGGGGTGATTGACGTCCTCGTCCTGAGGTGATTGACGTCCCCGTCCTGGGGTGATTGACGTCCTCGTCCTGGGGTGATTGACGTCCTTGTCCTGGGGTGACTGACGTCCCCGTCCTGGGGTGATTGACGTCCCCGTCCTGGGGTGATTGACGTCCCCGTCCTGGGGTGCTGTACCTCAGGGTGGTGTTGTCTCGATTCTTAACCCCCCCTCCCCCCACCCCCAGGGGCCCCCTCCCCCCCACCCCAGGGGCCCCCTCCCCCCCACCCCAGGGCCCCCTCCCCACCCGGACCCCCCCACCCCCAGGGGCCCTCCTCCCCCCCCCACCCCCAACAACAGCTCCCTCTCTCACTACCTCACTGTCTCTCCAGATTTCTCTCTCTCTCTCTCTCACCTTCCTCAGTCACCTCTCCCCCCCCTCCCCCTTCCCTCCCTCCCTCCCTCCATCCCTCACTGACTCCCTCTCCCTCTTTCCCTCCCATTCCTCTCCCTCCACCACCCGCCTAGCCTCGCTCCCTCAGTCCTCTCCCACGCTTGGCTCCGCCCCCCCTCCCCCTTCCCTTTCTCCCCCCCCCCCCTGCCTCGTGTATCCTCTCCTCTCTCTCCTCTCTCCTTTATCTCTTTCTCTGTGTCTCTCTTTGCCCGATCTTCGCCGCTGCCTTCCTCCCTCCCTCCCTCCCCTCTCTCCCTCCCTCCCTCCCTCCCTTCCTCCCTCCTTCTCTCTCTCCCTCCCTCCCTCCCTCTCTCCCTCCTCCTTGGCATCCTCCTCCTCCTCTTCCTCCTCCTCGCTGTCTTCCTCCTGTCCAACACCAGTCGTCTGTCTGTCTGTCTCTGTCTCTCTCTCTCTCTCTCTCTCTCTCTCTCTCTCTCTCTCTCTCTCTCTCTCTCTCTCTCTCTCTCTCTCTCTCTCTCTCTCTCTCTCTCTCTCTCACATATTAAGTTTACAATAATATAAACTCCATCACGGGATGGAGCTGGAACCAAGTGTGGTACGTCAGGCAAACGCATGTCTACGTCAGGCAAACCCATGTCTACGTCAGGCAAACCCATGTCTACGTCAGGCAAACCCATGTCTACGTCAGGCAAACACATGTCTACGTCAGGCAAACCCATGTCTACGTCAGGCAAACACATGTCTACGTCAGGCAAACCCATGTCTACGTCAGGCAAACACATGTCTACGTCAGGCAAACCCATGTCTACGTCAGGCAAACACATGTCTACGTCAGGCAAACACATGTCTACGTCAGGGAAACCCATGTCTACGTCAGGCAAACACATGTCTACGTCAGGCAAACACATGTCTACGTCAGGCAAACACATGTCTACGTCAGGCAAACACATGTCTACGTCAGGCAAACCCATGTCTACGTCAGGCAAACACATGTCTACGTCAGGCAAACCCATGTCTACGTCAGGCAAACACATGTCTACGTCAGGCAAACACATGTCTACGTCAGGCAAACCCATGTCTACGTCAGGCAAACCCATGTCTACGTCAGGCAAACACATGTCTACGTCAGGCAAACACATGTCTACGTCAGGCAAACACATGTCTACGTCAGGCAAACACATGTCTACGTCAGGCAAACCCATGTCTACGTCAGGCAAACCCATGTCTACGTCAGGCAAACACGTTTAAAATGTCAGCCAGTCTGGGAATGACGGAGCCCTGGCAGAGTCAAGTCTTGAGAGTGACAGACAGCATACTGCTATAGTGAGCGTCTAGAGTGACAGGCAGCATGCTGCTGTAGAGTAGTGACCGTCTAGAGTGAGAGACAGCATGCCACTATAGAGTAGTGAGCGTGTAGAGTGACAGGCAGCATGCCACTATAGAGTAGTGACCGTGTAGAGTGAGAGACAGCATGCCACTATAGAGTAGTGACCGTGTAGAGTGAGAGACAGCATGCCACTAGAGTAGTGAGCGTGTAGAGTGAGAGACAGCATGCCACTAGAGTAGTGAGCGTGTACTCCAGCGTCTCAGACAGGTGGAGACACCACCACCACAATAAGGGGGCCGAGCACCCTACCCTTAGGTACAGTCATAACACATTAGTGCCTCTATAATTCTGTTCCATTGAGGACTACCCTTAGAGTCCGTTGTCTGAAGTAGTCCGTTATGTGTTGCAAATGGCGCCGGAGATATGTATCAAGTGCTGGAAGGTTGACGGCGTGAGAGGTGGCGACAAGCAGGTGTCAGGTCCAGTACATCCAGTACATGAACACTGTATAAACATCAGAGGTCCGCGGTTGTTCAACGTCCTCCCAGCAAGCATAAGAAATATTGCCGGAACAACCGTGGACATCTTCAAGAGGAAACTGGATTTATTCCTCCAAGGAGTGCCGGACCAACCGGGCTGTGGTGGGTATGTGGGCCTGCGGGCCGCTCCAAGCAACAGCCTGGTGGACCAAACTCTCACAAGTCGAGCCTGGCCTCGGGCCGGGCTTGGGGAGTAGAAGAACTCCCAGAACCCCATCAACCAGGTAATCAACCAGGTAACATCAACACATCATGCAGTAACTGGCGCCGGGGTTGGCGCCGGGGTTGGCGCCGGGGTTGGCGCCGGGGTTGGCGCCGGGGTTGGCGCCGGGGTTGGCGCCGGGGTTGGCGCCGGAGCTCCCAACATCACCAACTATCATGAAATCATTTTGTCATGCACATACTGCCTCCCTTTGTACTCTCTCTTGTTCCTCCTCCTCCACAACCTACTTACCTAACACTGTCTTAGGGGGAGTGAGGTTCACCTCTTTATGTCACGTCTTGTACCACTTGCCTTACAGTATAACTGTTTTGACTTTCAAATTCCTTGTCGAGTCTGGAAGTGCTGTGGCTGGAGGTGGCTTCCACACCTTCTTGGGTGAGTACAGCACGTGTTGACCGGCCGTACACGGTACGAGCATTGCCTTACGTGCCTTCTACTCATCTGTGTTTCCAGCTTCCACCTGTGTCCTCTTGTCCTACCTTCTCGCAATCTGGAGAGGCTGTCCTTGTCCGCCTACTTCATTCTCCTCAGTATCTTGTATGTTGTGATCATATCCTATCTGTTCATTGTGTCGTGCAAGGTTCTGAGATTTAGTTCCATTAGTCTATGTTGGAAGCTTTGCCCTCTTAGCTCTAGCAGTAATCTTGTTGCAAAACCTCTCTACTTTTTCAATTTTGGCTTTGTTTCACAAGGTGCTGATTCCATGCCGGCGCTGCATATTCCAGTATTGGTCTAACACATGTTGTGTAGGTTGCCTAGGAGTCTTGAGTTAGGCTTCTAAATAATGTTTTTATATTTGCCAGCGTTATCGTGTTTACGTGCACCTCTGGTGTGAGTCTGGAAATATGTCCACTCCCTAATGTTTCTCTTTGTCTGTTTCCTGTAGTTGCTTCCCCCTTATGGTGTGGTCTCCTTCTGGTCTCCTCTCTTCCTTTCCTGTCTTTATTTCTTGTTGGGATTGACTTCCAGCAACAGTTTGTTTGACCACTGCTGGAGCTTGTCAAGGTCCTCTGGTAACTTAGAGTCCTGCTGGAGCTTGTCAAGGTCCTCTGGTAACTTGGTGGAGTCTCACTCTTCACGTTCCTCGTCACCTTTGTACCATCAGTAAACATTGACATGTCTGCCGTCACTCCTTCAGGCACGTCGTTCACATAAATATGGAACATGAGTGGTCCCAAGACACAGCCTTGTGGGACCCCCACTTGTTACAGTCCTCCAGCCTGAAAACTTCTCTCTGACTGTGACTCTCTGCTGTCTGTCCTTCAAGTACACCTTAACCCAGGTCAGTGTCTTCCCACCCTTCTTAGCCACCTTCTACACCACTCTCTCACTGGCCACTGTGTCAAGGGCTTTTTGACACTCTAGAAAAATGGAGCCTACCCAGCCATCGTGTTCTTGTCTTATTTTAGGAACTGTTCAAGAACTCTTATCAAGTTCTATATCTTATCAGGGTTCTATATCTTATCGGGGAGCCGGTCGGCCGAGCGGACAGCATGCTGGACTTGTGATCCTGTGGTCCCAGGTTCGATCCCGGGCGCCGGCGAGAAACAATGGGCAGAGTTTCTTTCACCCTATGCCCCTGTTACCTAGCAGTAAAATAGGTACCTGGGTGTTAGTTAGCTGTCACGGGCTGCTTCCTGGGGGTGGAGGCCTGGTCGAAGACCGGGCCGCGGGGACACTTAAGCCCCGAAATCTTCTCAAGATAACCTCAAGAAGTTTGTTAGGCCCGACTTTCCTTTTTCTAAATTCCTGGAGACGTTTTGTCACGTGGTCAGTCCTCTCCAGGTGGTCAACCTTTCTCCACCGTCCACACATTTCGACAATGAATTTGAAAGTCAGGATATGTAAATTGTAAGGCAACAGGTTCGGCAACGCTAGCAGGTGCGGGCGTGAGGAGACCTCATTCCTTGAGGAGGACGAGAAGCAGCAGTTAGGAGGAGCAGGAGCAGGAGGAGAATATGACATAGGTGTAGGAAGAGGAGGTGGAGGAGGTGGTGGTGCTGATGGAAGAGGAGGTGGTAGATGAGAATTATGAGGAATAGAAGGAGAAGATTGATTGATGAAGATTAAGCCACCCAAGAGGTGGCACGGGCATGAATAGCCCGTACGTGGTGGCCCTTTTGAGCCATTACCAGTATCAAGAGCTGATACTGGTGATCTGTGGAGGTGCGACTGCACCCTGCGTGACGGGAGATGTCTCCCCCGACTAGGAGGAGAAGGATGCACTAAATAAAGATGCACTAAAGAGAACCATAAAGGAATACACCTGAGTCAGTAGAGAAGGTGAGTGACAATATGAGAGTAACATTGCTGTTAAAGCTAAGGAGCAGCCAAAGCTGTTGTTTAGCCATCTAAGGCGACAAACAACAGTGGAAGACCATTTCCTCGGACTGAGAACACAAAGAGGAATGCTCACAGAAAACTATAAGGAGGTGTGTGAGGAACCAAACAAAAGATTTCAGGTCTTTGCATTAGAACCAGCGTGGAGACCAAGGTTGCAAGATGAAAGGCAGGAAGAAACAATGGATGACATTGTAGTCACTGTAGAAGAGGTAAGAAAAGAGCTGGAGGAACTACAGGTGACGAACCAGCAAGGCCAGACAGACTCACACCATGGCTCATGAAGGGGACTGCACAAGCATTTTCTCGCCCATTACCTAAAATTGTTAATGAAACTCTCAAAGCAGGAACTCTCCCAGAGGTCTGGAAAGAGGCGAGTTTAGTCCCTACATTCAACAGTAGAGGACAGAAAGGAGGCAGTAAAATTCAGACTAGTGTCATTGATAAGTATTTAGGAAATACTTCATTAATGTCACCTCCCGTGTCTTGCTATTCTCAAACAATATTGTTTGTTGACCAACTTGTTTAACTGCTGATTTCTGCCATGTCCCCCTCCCCCCCCCTTTCCAACATAATTTATACTTTAATCCCAATTAGTATTAAGTATTAGTCAATATTTTTCCAACACACCTTGCGGGAAACGCTGTGCTTATTATATATTTTTTGGAGTAAAGAGGAAGGAGAGGCATAGGTGAAGGGAAGTATAGAAGTGGGAAATACAGTGAGAGGTATGAAAGCAGGCGGCGGGCTGTCCGCCTTGCTGACACAATGTGTGGGTGAGCCACTGTGCATATTAGTGGCTTGAGGCACAGTATGTACTAAGTATCTATACATCCAACATTATGTTTGTAACTCCTCTCCTATGTATGTACTTTTACCTGAATAAACATCTGAATTTGAATTCAGGTTAAGAGAGCAGCAGCTGGAGTGGGCCGTCCAGGGGACAAGACGCCACCATGGATATATAAAGGGAACATCGTCCAGTCTTTAACACAGTTACTAAATAAGTTCACAGTTAACAGTGAGTGAACAAAGTGTCCCAAGGTCACCTCGCTCACCATACTCGCTAAAATTATCAATGGTTCAAGTTCAACTATGGTGGCCCTTAACCTTCACACTCCAGTCCTAAGTTGCGCCATGTTACCCTTCACAGTAACACAGTATCAAGTTTATTTACATCAGTATCTAATCCATACTTTAGTTTGGGGTCCAAAACCCCGACTAAGTTTGTCTTGAGTTCTAAGTTGGGCCAAGTTGCTCCACACGTCTTCCTCCACAACACGAAAACCATGATCAATATTGGGAGAACAGTCGGAGGAGGGGGGGAGGGGGGAGGGGGGAGGGGGGGAGGGGGGAGGGGGAAGGAGGAGGGAAGAGGAAGAGAAGGAGAAGGAGGAGGGGGGGATGGGTAGTTACTATCACTCCACACCTAAGAGTGAGTCAGGAGGAGTGAGGTGCAGCTCCGTCCTCCTCCTCCACTACACCTCTTGCCTTACAACTGAACTATTCTGACACACAAGTTCCTTGTGGACTCATACGTCAGGCTGCGAGCAGCCGCGTCCAACAGCCTGGTTGATCAGTCCGGCAACCAGGAGGCCTGGTCGACGACCGGGCCGCGGGGACGCTAAGCCCCGGAAGCACCTCAAGGTAAGGTGGACTGTGGCCAGAAAGCGGCTGGTCCTCCGGTGTAGCCGGCCTTCACAGTAACCAGGTCCTCAGGTGTAGCCGGCCCTCACAGTAACCAGGTCCTCAGGTGTAGCCGGCCCTCACAGTAACCAGGTCCTCAGGTGTAGCCGGCCCTCACAGTAACCAGGTCCTCAGGTGTAGCCGGCCCTCACAGTAACCAGGTCCTCAGGTGTAGCCGGCCCTCACAGTAACCAGGTCCTCAGGTGTAGCCGGCCCTCACAGTAACCAGGTCCTCAGGTGTAGCCGGCCCTCACAGTAACCAGGTCTTCAGGTGTAGCCGGCCCTCACAGTAACCAGGTCCTCAGGTGTAGCCGGCCCTCACAGTAACCAGGTCCTCAGGTGTAGCCGGCCCTCACAGTAACCAGGTGCTACACATATTGACCTGAACAATTAGGAACCAGAATTTGACCACTATTGAACACTGACAAATCTGAAAAAGTTATGAATTAATGTTGTTAATAAAACCTGACCTAACCTAACCATGCTAGGCCTAATACAAGCTATATGAGGCCTAATATAGTACATATAGATGCTATACTAGGCCTGGGGGATATTTTTTTTTGGTTTTACCTTTTATCTGGACCCTATAAAGGCAATAGTACCAGATTCTACTTTCTAATTGTCCATTACGTCACTACACGTACCATGGAGCACATAGTTACTATAAGTACTATCTAAACACGAGGATGGTTCGTCTTACAGGTGTGGGTGGAGGTGGCTTCCAGGCCTTCTCCTGCCAGTCACCAGCAGGTTAGTAAGACAGACAGGTGCAGGTAACTGTAACAGGTAACTATTAACACAAAGAAGCAGCTCCAGCAACTGGTAATGTGTGGAGTAAAGTAATGGTCGCTGCCACACCACCGTGAGGAGGGAGAGTGGTCATCACAGCCTGCGTGATCACTCATTCAGGCTCCTCATCCTGCCGCCCTCATGCTGTAAACATTCAGCCCGCCGCCTTGCCTGGTCCTGGTCCGAGGCTCCCACACCTGCACGGTGCACACCACACCTGCACGGTGCACACCACACCTGCACGGTGGACACCACACCTGCACGGTGGACACCACACCTGCACGGTGCACACCACACCCGTCACCCGGACACACGTGTAGGGTGAGGGTATCTGGCCAGCACACGAGGCTATAGGCTCACATTTACCTAGTTCATCTGTCTTGTGAAGCTTACTCATCTCTACAGGTACAGGTTCTTGCTCTACAGGTTCAGGTTCTTGCTCTACAGGTTCAGGTTCTTGCTCTACAGGTACAGGTTCTTGCTCTACAGGTTCAGGTTCTTGCTCTACAGGTTCAGGTTCTTGCTCTACAGGTACAGGTTCTTGCTCTACAGGTACAGGTTCTTGCTCTACAGGTTCAGGTTCTTGCTCTACAGGTACAGGTTCTTGCTCTACAGGTACAGGTTCTTGCTCTACAGGTACAGGTTCTTGCTCTACAGGTACAGGTTCTTGCTCTACAGGTACACCAACACCAGTCACTGTACTCATCATCTGAAGGAGTCGTTGCTGCAGCTTGTGGGCAACACTCATCACCTCCTCAACATCAGCGCCACACTTGGCAGACTCTTCATAAAACCTGACTGTGGCACAAGTTGAGGCGTTTGGGCTTCCGCAGCGACCTCAGTAGAGCTCCGGGTTGAATAGTTGCTGAGGTCGACCCGGGCGTCGAGGCCAGGGTCACCGGCACACTCCTTCTTGAGGTTATCTTGAGATGATTTCGGGGCTTTAGTGTCCCCGCGGCCCGATCCTCGACCAGGCCTCCACCCCCAGGAAGCAGCCCGTGACAGCTGACTAACACCCAGGTACCTATTTTACTGCTCGGTAACAGGGGGCATAGGGTGAAAGAAACTCTGCCCATTGTTTCTCGCCGACGCCCGGTATCGAACCCGGGACCACAGGATCACAGTCCAGCGTGCTGTCCGCTCGGCCGACCGGCTCCCTTACGGTACGGTAAAATTGAGGACCTTAAACATAATACAGGGTACAAAACACAATCAGATCTGTCCATAGTAGGAAAACAGCATGTCAAGGATCTGGGAATAATGATGTCTGACGACCTAACGTTTAGGGAGCATAACCAAGCAAATATTGCGTCAGCCAGGAGAATGATAGGATGGATTACCAGAACTTTCAAATCCAGGGATCCCATCACAATGGTGGTACTACACACATCGATTCGGACAGGACCTTAATACTAATTTTCCCCGGAATACGACCCGCCAAGTCGTTTAACATCCAGGTACCCATTCACTGCTGGGTGAACAGAGGCTACAGTTAAGGATTGGTGCCCAGTCAATCCTCCCTGGCCAGGATACGAACCCAGGTCAAAGCGCTCGCGAAGCGCCGGGCGAGTGTGTTACCACTGCGCGATGGGGACTGCTAAGTTGGTTAAGTATAAGTATTGTTAACTGCTAAGTATAAGTTGGTTAATGGTGGGGAGGATTAGGCCGGGAGTCAAGGCCCCCCTGCAGACCTGGGACAGGCCTGGGTAGACTCTGGCCTGCTGTTGCTGCTGCTGCTGCTGCTGCTGCTGGGACCTCTCTGCTGTACCAAGGCTTCTCTCTCTCTCTCTCTCTCTCTCTACCTCTCTCTCTCTCTCTCTCTCTCTCTCTCTCTCTCTCTCTCTCTCTCTCTCTCTCTCTCTCTGCTGTACAAAAGCTCGAATGTTTAAGAGCGACCCAGGAGCTAAGCTCCGCCGAACAGGAGACAGCCTCAGGCTACCTGTGTGTTAGTCAGCTGTCACGGGCTGCTTCCTGGGGGTGGAGGCCTGGTCGAGGACCGGGCCGTGGGGACACTAAAGCCCCGAAATCATCTCAAGATAAGAATCAAGATACCTTCCTACCACACCTAAACAATGGCTTGCTTGGTGGAAAAGTCACAGACAAGCACATGCATTTATCAGTTTATCAGAAGGCGAGGTCACCTGACCTGACCTCACCTCACCACACATGTGAACATTAACACTACTGAAGGTGTGAGTTTTGAAATGACAAGGAGCGACAACCTGGCGCCGTCAACATCTGGTGAGAACTGACTACTTGTTTCATTAAATACAACCATTTATGGTGCTACATCTATGCTGTCTTTAACTCTTCATGCTTCTCATCATTTTGGCATCATCAGCAAACATTGAGAGGAATGAGTCTATACCCTCTGGAAGATCATTTACGTATATCAGAAACAGTATAGGTCAAACTACAGAACCCTGTGCTCACTTAGTTGTACTCACTTAGTTGTGCTTGCTGGGGTTGAGCTTTGGCTCTTTGGTCCCGCCTTTCAACGGTCAATCAACTGGTGTAGATTCTTGAGCCTATTGGGCTCTATCAAATCTACATTTGAAACTGTGTATGGAGTCAGCCTCCACCACATCACTGCCTAATGCTTTCCATTTGTTAAATCCCTGTGGGCCTCTGCTTGTAACATCACGTCAATCTGAGGTTTCACCCCTTACGGTAACTCTGCTTCCTATGGCTTAGGTGCTCGCATATCCACTGGAGCGCCCTACCAGTTACTCTTGCCTGTTTCTTCAACTTATGTACCAGACTCCTATGGTACAGGAGTCCAAGAAAATGTCTGCCCAACCTTCTCTTTCTGACTTAATGTTTGTCACCTGGTCGTAGAATAGTATTAAACCCGTGAAGCAAGATTTGCCATCCCAGAACCCACGTTGGTGTGTCACTAAGTCCCTTCTCTCCGCATGTGCTGCTGAGTTTATTCTCACACTCTTCTCCGTCACCTTGCTTGGTATACAGGCTAAGGACACTGGCCTGTAGCTCAGTACCTCTTGCCCTTGTTGTATATTGGGACATTGGCTGTCTTCCATATTCTGGTAGGTCTCCTGTTTCTGGTGACTTACTGTACACCACGGAGAGCGGCAAGCACAGTGCTCCTGCACACTCTTGTTAATATCCACGGGGAGACATGTAGTCAGGTCCAGCAACCTTTCTCGCATCCAGATCCAACAGTTATCTTGTTAATCTCATATCTGGTAATATCGAACCCTTGTGTGTTAATAGTGTGTAATTACTGATGTGTAGTTACAGGATGAGAGCTACGTTCGTGGTGTCCCGTCTTCCCAGTACTCTTTGTCGTATAACGCTTTGAAACTACTGACGGTTTTGGTCTCCACCTTCTAACCTAACTTGTTCCAACCGTCTACCATTCTGTCTACAATAGAAAACGTTCTAATATTTTGTTGGCACCTTGTGTTTCCTTGGCTTAAACTTGTGTCCTCTTGTTCTTCAAGTTGTTGCCTTTCAGGAATTCATCTTTGTCAATTTGGTCGATGCCTGTTATATTTTGAAAATGGTCATATCGCCTATTTCTTCTATTGTCTAGCTTAGCCAAATTTAAGGCCTGTAGCCTCTCCTCGCAACTTTTGTTTCTCAGTTCTGGAAGCCATTTTGGTGCATGCCTTTGTACCTTTCCCAGTTTAGTGATGTGCGTCTCGAGATGGGGGCCACCAAACACCTGCTGCATATTCCAATATTGGTCTCACGAACGTCATGAACAGTTACTTTAGTACTTCACCGTCCGTGGAGTTCAAAGTGAATCTGAAGTTGGAAAGCGACGCTACGCTCCTCTCACAATGTTCTTCATGTAGTCCTCTGGTGACACCTTACTATCCTAAACCACCCCAAGGTCTCCTTTATTACAGTTCTGTAATTCCTTTCCACATAATTTACAAGTTGTGTGTGTGATCTATCGTCTCCTATTCCACATTCCATAACATGACAATTATTCAGTTTGAATTCCATTTGCCACATGGTGGTCCAAACACCTGTTTTATCTACATCCATCTGAAGGTCTTAACAGTTGTCTGGGTCTCCTATCTTCCCCAGTGTGTCAACATCATCCACAAATATGTTCATATAATTCTGTATTACTTCTGGTAGATCATTGATGTAGACGGCTGTCGCGTGTGTGTGTGTGTGTGTGTGTGTGTGTGTGTGTACACTTACATAACTGAACCAACCAATGATCAATCTCTAGCTCCAGGACCCCGGCCACATAACTCCTGAGCGTGTGTGTGTACGTGTACAGGCGGCATAGCACCCGTGCGTGGTCCTGTGAGTGCATGTGCGTGCCTGTGCAGGCGTGCGACCGCGCGTGTGCACGTGCCCTGGCGGGACGCCTCGTGCACGGCTCAGGACGGGCGGCTACAGGTGCGGTGTTGCCACATGTGCCCGCCCGCCCGTCCCAGGTATGAAGGCAGCGTTGCCAAAACGTCACCAGACGTACAGTTAGAGTCTGAAGTCTCACTCTTCCTGAATAACACATGGCTCCTACTGTGCCTCCCTCCCTCCTAGGGGATGGGGGGGAGGTAATTTACCTTACTGATCACTCCTTATCTCACCTCCCCTTCCTACACCATCATCTTGCTCCCTCTAGGACATGAGAGAACTAGTTACTGTAATGCAGAGATCTCTCTCTTCGCATGTTATCTCTCTCTCCCTCTCTCTCTCTCTCTCTCTCTCTCTCTCTCTCTCTCTCTCTCTCTCTCTCTCTCTCTCTCTCTCTCTCTCTCTCTCTCTCTCTCTCTTTATATAATCTATATTTTTATCTATGAATATATATATAAATATATATTTCTCTCTCTATGAATCTATATATTTATCTATCTAGATATCTATCTATAATATCTGTAGCGGTTCGTCGGGTTGTAGGAAGATGATTGGCCAGAGAGGCGTATGCCGCGCACGTCAAAAAGGGCGGGAAATATTATGGCGGGAAAGGAGGTAAACACCGTTATGGCGCGCGTGTGGGTTAGGCTGGGGCTGGTGGGGGCGTTGTGGGGGGAGGGCGTGGGTGAACAATATTGACCCAACTTACTTGTCTCTTCTCTTCGCTACCAGAATAACGGAAAAAAGAAAACACACACAAAAAAAGAGAGATAAGATATAAAAGAAGAGAATAAAATGAAGAGACTAAAGAGGTAGAAGAAGTTGGTGGGTTGGTGTGCTGGTTGTGGAGGAGGAGGGGGGAAGGGGGGTGGGGGGAGGGGGAGAGAAAGAGGAAGAGAGAGAGACGCGACAGGGAGGATAAAACTCTGGGAGTAGGAAGAGGGAGAAAGGGAATTGGGCCGCTTGCGCCCTTCTTGTCACGGCTCCTGGCGCCTCCCTGACTACCTTGTTGGTTAGAGAGAAAGAAAGAAAGTGAGAAAGGCAGAGAGAAAAGAGGGAGAAAGAGAGAGAGAGAGATCGATGTGATCAGGTCAACTGATCACATGAAGGCTCTGATCCACAGTTGGTGACGGGGTCATCCTGCTCCTCATATGACTGTTACCTAATGTTGTTAAAAAAATCTTGTATTCCTATTCATGCACATAACAGGCTCATGAAATAAATGGGTCTCTAGCAGCAGGCTTCAGATGAGCTGAGGCAGGATAACAGCTCTTGCTTGAGGTTTCACTAGGAGAGTCATTTGACACCACTTATGAACCCTACTCTTAGTTAAAAACTAAATGAGAGAGGGAGAGAAAAAGGGAGAAGATAGAAAGGGGAGAGAGGGAGAAAGAGACACAAGCCTCCAAGGAGGAAGGGAAGGATGAGTAAGGAGTGAACAGGAGACAATGAGAGAAGAGACATAAAAGGAGAAAAGACAGAGAGAAGAGAAACAGACAAATAATCTTATCTGTCCCATTGTTATATAAGGAGTAACTGTATCAGTACTCACCTAGTTGTGCTTGCGGGGGTTGAGTTCTGGCTCTCTGGTCCCACCTCTCAACCGTCAATCAACTGGTGTACAGGTTCCTGAGCCTACTGGGCTCTATCATATCTACACTTGAAACTGTGTATGGTGTCAGCCTCCGCCACATCACTGCCTAATACATTCCACCTGGTTGATACCTGGTTGATACCTGGTTGATGGGGTTCTGGGAGTTCTTCTACTCCCCAAGCCCGGCCCGAGGCCAAGCTTGTGAGAGTTTGGTCCACCAGGCTGTTGCTTGGAGCGGCCCGCAGGCCCACATACTCACCACAGCCCGGTTGGTCCGGCACTCCTTGGAGGAATAAATCTAGTTTCCTCTTGAAGATGTCCACGGTTGTTCCGGCAATATTTCTTATGCTCGCTGGGAGGACGTTGAACAACCGCGGACCTCTGATGTTTATACAGTGTTCTCTGATTGTGCCTATGGCACCTCTGCTCTTCATTGGTTCTATTCTACATTTTCTTCCATGTCGTTCACTCCAGTACGTTGTTATTTTACTGTGTAGATTTGGTACTTGGCCCTCCAGTATCTTCCAGGTGTATATTATTTGATATCTCTCTCGTCTTAACTGTTAACTACTCTGACACTGAAAAAGTTCTTTCTAACGTACACGTTTGCTGTGTACAGTGTGAGGCATAGATTTGTCTTTTCCTTTCATAACTAAATAAGTTTATCTGTGCATAATCAGGCATATATCTGTACATAATGTGTATATGTATCTAAGTCTGGGTTTGTGTTCTGTTGCATGAGGTTGAAGAACTTGTAATGGTGGAAATGACTTTCTGTGACAGTCACTTCATGAACCAAGAGTACGGATCATGGACCAAGAGTACGGGTTATGGACCAAGAGTACGGGTCATGGACCAAGAGTACGGATCATGGACCAAGAGTACGGGTTATGGACCAAGAGTACGGGTCATGGACCAAGAGTACGGGTTATGGACCAAGAGTACGGGTCATGGACCAAGAGTACGGGGTCATGGACCAAGAGTACGGGTCATGGACCAAGAGTACGGGTCATGAACCAAGAGTACGGGTCATGGACCAAGAGTACGGGGTCATGGACCAAGAGTACGGGGTCATGAACCAAGAGTACGGGTCATGAACCAAGAGTACGGATCATGAACCAAGAGTACGGGGTCATGGACCAAGAGTACGGGTCATGGACCAAGAGTACGGGTCATGAACCAAGAGTACGGGTCATGGACCAAGAGTACGGATCATGAACCAAGAGTACGGGTCATGGACCAAGAGTACGGGTCATGAACCAAGAGTACGGGGTCATGGACCAAGAGTACGGGTCATGAACCAAGAGTACGGGTCATGAACCAAGAGTACGGGTCATGGACCAAGAGTACGGGTCATGAACCAAGAGTACGGGTCATGAACCAAGAGTACGGGGTCATGGACCAAGAGTACGGGGTCATGGACCAAGAGTACGGATCATGAACCAAGAGTACGGGTCATGGACCAAGAGTACGGGTCATGGACCAAGAGTACGGGTCATGAACCAAGAGTACGGGGTCATGGACCAAGAGTACGGGTCATGAACCAAGAGTACGGGGTCATGAACCAAGAGTACGGGTCATGAACCAAGAGTACGGGTCATGAACCAAGAGTACGGGTCATGAACCAAGAGTACGGGTCATGAACCAAGAGTACGGGTCATGAACCAAGAGTACGGGTCATGAACCAAGAGTACGGGGTCATGAACCAAGAGTACGGGTCATGAACCAAGAGTACGGGTCATGAACCAAGAGTACGGGGTCACGAACCAAGAGTAAGGGGCATGAACCAAGAGTACGGGTCATGAACCAAGAGTACGGGTCATGAACCAAGAGTACGGGGTCATGAACCAAGAGTACGGGGTCATGAACCAAGAGTACGGGGTCATGAACCAAGAGTACGGGGTCATGAACCAAGAGTACGGGGTCATGAACCAAGAGTACGGGTCATGAACCAAGAGTACGGGTCATGAACCAAGAGTACGTGTCATGAACCAAGAGTACGGGGTCATGAACCAAGAGTACGGGGTCATGAACCAAGAGTACGGGTCATGAACCAAGAGTACGGGGTCATGAACCAAGAGTACGGGGTCATGAACCAAGAGTACGGGTCATGAACCAAGAGTACGGGTCATGAACCAAGAGTACGGGTCATGGACCAAGAGTACGTGTCATGAACCAAGAGTACGGGGTCATGAACCAAGAGTACGGGGTCATGAACCAAGAGTACGGGGTCATGAACCAAGAGTACGGGTCATGAACCAAGAGTACGGGGTCATGAACCAAGAGTACGGGTCATGAACCAAGAGTACGGGTCATAAACCAAGAGTACGGGTCATGAACCAAGAGTACGGGGTCATGGACCATGAGTCATGAACCAAGAGTACGAGTGAGAGAAGAGTGTGTACGTTGTAGTGTGTGGAGGCAGAGCAGGTACTAGAGGGACCCAGTAGTGTGAGGTCACAGGCCCAGTAGTGTGAGGTCACAGACCCAGTAGTGTGAGGTCACAGGCCCAGTAGTGTGAGGTCACAGGCCCAGTAGTGTGAGGTCACAGACCCAGTAGTGTGAGGTCACAGGCCCAGTAGTGTGAGGTCACAGACCCAGTAGTGTGAGGTCACAGGCCCAGTAGTGTGAGGTCACAGGCCCAGTAGTGGTGTCAATCCTGCCCTTCGGGGACTCACGTGTCATGAGGATAAATAATTTTGATCATGAGGATAAATAATTCAGAACAAATTCTGATAAATACTGAGAGGCGGAAATGCAGTGTGACATTAGCGAGCCGACGGTCTAAAAGTAGCGAATTTGTAATAAGAGTAGCCTAATATTTTGTTTTAGTGACTGATACAGGTTTGCAAAGTTATATATATTTTAATATATAGAGTACACTACACGATTTTAATTGTTTTGTTAATATTATCTCTGTATATATATATATATTTAAAAATATATGATAATAGAATAATCTACCAATTTATGCTGTAGGAAGCATCATGGGTGTGGAGTCCCTTCCATGTCTTCACAGTTGAAGATTATCAAGATCTTCTTCGTCTTCATCCACAACCTCGTTCTTGTATATTGAAGACTCATATTTAAGCCTTAACATGAGTAGTTCAAATGATGAACAACAAGTTCCGTTTTCTTAAAGATATGTTTTGATTCTCAAGATTGATGTCAAAAAGTTCAAGTCCCATTCCATTTCTCAGTTTAGTTTTCACAGATGTTACTCTCGAAAATACCTGTTCAACCAGGGCATTACTGACTGGTAAGCTGGATATATTCAGTGCAGACTGAGCGAGGTCAATCAGTATGGGATCGCCAGCAGTGTTAATGACAGTTATTGTCTTGGTCTAAAATGACGATCCACATGTTGGAATTTTAATGAAGAACTGTGGAATCAGGTGTAGCTTTTGGGATGAAGTATTAATGACAATTAAGGTTGGGAAATCTATGGCCCCTGCGGAGGATTACCTTGCCTTGCGGTTACTTTTTCTTTCGAAGGTTCCTAGGATCAACGTCCCCAGGGGGCCGGTCTCTCACCAGGCCTCCTGTGGTAAGTGGTCTAGTCAATCAGGTTATTGGACGCGGCTGTGAGTTGTACACATTACATTATAAACTCATAAATAATCATCATTGAGTTTTTGTTAACATTGCCCAAGTTGCTTTTAAATTAGGCCAAAAAGTAGCAAGTAGCGAAATTAAACATTTGGGAGCGCGGAGGCTTTCAAAAGTAGCTCAATCAGCTACTTGTAGCCCACTCTGGCACCCCTGCCCCGGGCCAGGGGCCAGATTTACGAAAGCAGTTACGCAAGCACTTACGAACGTGTACATCTTTCCTCAATCTTTGACGGCTTTGGTTACATTTATTAAATAGTTTACAAGCATGAAATCTTCCCATTCCAGTGTTGTTATTGTTATAAACAGCTTCCTGGTGCTTCGGAGCTAGTTAACTGTTTAATAATTGTAAACAAAGCCGCCAAAGATCGAGAAAAGATGAACAGGTTCGTAAGTGCTTGCGTAAGTGCTTTCGTGAATCTGACCCCAGGCTGACCTCACTTGGGTCACGTGGGGTCGGTGGCTGTGATTAGTGGTAGATTTCCCGCCACCGTGTGGTAGCCAACAACCTGTGGTGCTAATAACACTTGAACTATTGCCCAACATGTCTCGCTGATTCCATCCATTTTCACAAGGTCGTCTGCAGAGTTTGACAAGATAATATGAGTGTTGAAAATAACTCATTACACACAGACGGTGCTGGCTTCGCGACACTCTTACCAACTATTTTTTTCACGGGTATTTCGGACAAACACAAAATGTGGATCACCATCCTCACTATTCCTGTGCTAGTAACGTCATCCAAGCAGAGTTTACCGATAGATAGTGCTGCCTTGACCTTACTGTGCTCCCATCTATCAAGTCCACTACGGGCTCACCATAGCCCGTGCTACTTGGGACTTTTTGTTCCAAGTAGCGAATCTTAAACAACAACAACAATGCCATCTATCTCAATCATTTCTTGCTAGTTTTATACATCTTAACCTCTTGCCTGATGTACTCTTACCTCGTCATAAGGGTGTACATGACGTGTACATGACGTGTACGTGTACATGACGTGTACGTGTACATGACGTGTACGTGACGTGTACGTGTACATGACGTGTACGTGTACATGACGTGTACGTGTACATGACGTGTACGTGACGTGTACGTATACATGACGTGTACGTGTACATGACGTGTACGTGTACATGACGTGTACGTGTACATGACGTGTGCTATCTTCACAAACACGTCGTTGGCAGCACCAGGTCTCCTGCTCATTATCCACTTCTGTCCAAAAAAGGAAACAGAATGTTCTTAAAGAATCCTTCAAGAGAGAGAGTGCTGTGACGCCCATGGGTCGCCTTTATACCAATCACCTCCACCAGAACACTGGACGCACCATTCGACTCAATTTTATTTTTCAACTAATACAAAAATCACTTGTCAGATCTTTTTTTTCTGTCGTCATTTCCGTTAGCCTGACTTTTAATTTTTTTTCGACACGAGTCATTTCTTTCTGACAATTTCTTCTTAACATCACAAAAAGACATCGGTAATAACCTTCTCATTTACTTTAATGTGCAATATTTCCAATGTTGTTATAGATTCAGCTACTCGGAACAAGTTCCAAGTAGCACGGGCTATGGTGAGCCCGTACCTTACCTGGAACAGGAGCGGGGCAAGTAGCATGGGCTATGGCGAGCCCGTAGTAGACTTACCTGGCACAGGAAGTGGATATTTCCAAATTATACTGCTATAATATATGGACAGGTGTTGGTGTTTGCTGATTATGATGGTGTCATAACTAATGTCACGGTTTCTATTTTCAACGGTAAATATTCTCTTTTGGAAGCAAAACTTTTTCGAAAAATACAGCCCATCCTCCTGTCGTACTTATAGGGAGGATGAGGACCATAGTATACAGGCGAGGAGTCACAGTAACGTGGCTGAAGTATGTTGACCAGACCACACACTAGAAGGTGAAGGGACGACGACGTTTCGGTCCGTCCTGGACCATTCTCAAGTCGAAAGGGTCCGTCTAATTACCACAAGCTACCACAAGCTACACAAGCTTCAGAAAGCTTCCTGGCAATACGTTAGTAATGAATAAATATGATATGTTAAGTTAGGCTGACCTAATCTAACCTAACCTATCCTATCCCAACCTATCCTAACCTAACCTAACCTAAAATAACCTAACTTAACCAAACCTAACCTAACCTAACCGAAGCTTGGATCGTCGACTTGATTTGGCGTCACCAGCTTTTTATTTTCATCTAATTTCTTTATAAAAAGATACTTTTTCAGATTAAAATTATGTTTTTTCGTGTTGTACATTCAGCACCAACATTATAATGAGTAAATATATCATATTTATTCATTACTAACGTATTGCCAGGAAGCTTTCTGAAGCTTGACTTGTGAGAGTTTGGTCCACCAGGCTGTTGCTTGGAGCGGCCCGCAGGCCCACATATACCTGGTTGATGGGGTTCTGGGAGTTCTACTCCCCAAGCCCGGCCCGAGGCCAGGCTTGACTTGTGAGAGTTTGGTCCACCAGGCTGTTGCTTGGAGCGGCCCGCAGGCCCACATATACCTGGTTGATGGGGTTCTGGGAGTTCTACTCCCCAAGCCCGGCCCGAGGCCAGGCTTGACTTGTGAGAGTTTGGTCCACCAGGCTGTTGCTTGGAGCGGCCCGCAGGCCCACATACCCACCACAGCCGTGGGAGAGACGCAGCTTCCTTCAGTAAATCTGTACACGCCAAACCTCTTGATGTGGTCATCTCTGGTCCATCTTCAAATTATGTTCTTCAAAATTTGCTTAAATCTCAGAAGTTCAATACTTGTATGTGCAATGTCCAGACCTCAATGGCAGGGTGGTTCCCCAGTCAACTTGCTGATGGACTCCCTGGACTCCCTGCTGATGGACTCCCTGGACGACCTGGACTCCCTGCTGATGGTCCATAACTGTCAGCTGATCATAGCTGCGGGTGACCTCAACCAATACCTCATACACAGAGGGATTTTGATGAACTTTCATCCTCGAACTTTTTGTGAGCTTTCTATCTCATATAACAGGTGGGTCCCTTGATGCTGTCGTAACTAACCTTCCTGCAAGCATAGTTCACCGCACTAACCTTCCTGCAAGCATAGTTCACTGCACTAACCTTCCTGCAAGCATAGTTCACCGCACTAACCTTCCTGCAAGCATAGTTCACTGCACTAACCTTCCTGCAAGCATAGTTCACTGCCCTAACCTTCCTGCAAGCATAGTTCACTGCCCTAACCTTCCTGCAAGCATAGTTCACTGCCCCTAACCTTCCTGCAAGCATAGTTCACTGCCCTAACCTTCCTGCAAGCATAGTTCACTGCCCCTAACCTTCCTGCAAGCATAGTTCACTGCAGACCTCTGAAATATGTTGATTCACTGGACCACCAGCATCTCAACTGACTATCCCAATAGATCGAGGGGAAAGAATCTATTAGAACAACCTGGCTTTGGGACAGGGGGAACTGGCCAGCCCTCTGGTCAGGGCAGCAACTGACTGACTGGAATGCCTTGTTCCAGAGGGACGTGAACAGCCAAGCAAACGCCCTCACCAGTCGTATACATGCCCCAAGCATAGGGACATTCCACACCAGCAGATGTGAACAGCCTTCCTTTGGCTATCGCCCCCATATAGTGGTAGCTCAGGCCACAAACAAGGCCTCGAGCAGGTTTAAAAGGCTTAACTCGGGGTCAGAAGAACAACATTGGTGGGTGTCGTACAATGAGAGGTTCACGAGTGGGCAATATCCTGATGGGAAGCACAAACTACAAGATAACTTGCATCCGGAAATGGTAGTGTGGTGTTGGTGTTAGACGTCTGGATAATAATGGTAGTGGTGTTAGACGTCTGGATAATGGTGGTCTGGATAATGGTGGTGGTAGTGGTCTGGATAATGGTGGTGATGGTGGTCTGGATAATGGTGATAGTGGTCTGGATAATGGTGGTGATAGTGGTCTGGATAATGGTGGTGATGGTGGTCTGGATAATGGTGATAGTGGTCTGGATAATGGTGGTGATGGTGGTCTGGATAATGGTGATAGTGGTCTGGATAATGGTGGTGATAGTGGTCTGAATTATGGTGGTGATGGTGGTCTGGATAATGGTGATAGTGGTCTGGATAATGGTGGTGATGGTGGTCTGGATAATGGTGATAGTGGTCTGGATAATGGTGGTGATGGTGGTCTGGATAATGGTGATAGTGGTCTGGATTATGGTGGTGATGGTGTTAGACGTCTGGATAATAATGGTAGTGATAGTGGTCTGGATAATGGTAGTGATAGTGTTAGACGTCTGGATAATAATGGTAGTGGTGTTAGACGTCTGGATAATAATGGTAGTGGTGTAATAATGGTAATGGGGGTGATAGTGGTCTGGATAATGGTGGTGATGGTGATAGTGGTCTGGATAATGGTGATAGTGGTCTGGATAATGGTGATAGTGGTCTGGATAATGGTGGTGATGGTGGTCTGGATAATGGTAGTGATAGTGTTAGACGTCTGGATAATAATGGTAGTGGTGTTAGACGTCTGGATAATAATGGTAGTGGTGTAATAATGGTAATGGGGGTGATAGTGGTCTGGATAATGGTGGTGATGGTGATAGTGGTCTGGATAATGGTGATAGTGGTCTGGATAATGGTGATAGTGGTCTGGATAATGGTGGTGATAGTGGTCCGGATAATGGTGATGATAGTGGTCTGGATAATGGTGATAGTGGTCTGGATAATGGTGGTGGTGATAGTGGTCTGGATAATGGTGATAGTGGTCTGGATAATGGTGGTGATGGTGGTCTGGATAATGGTGATAGTGGTCTGGATAATGGTGGTGATAGTGGTCTGGATAATGGTGATAGTGGTCTGGATAATGGTGATAGTGGTCTGGATAATGGTGATAGTGGTCTGGATAATGGTGATAGTGGTCTGGATAATGGTGATAGTGGTCTGGATAATGGTGATAGTGGTCTGGATAATGGTGATATTGGTCTGGATAATGGTGGTGATAGTGGTCTGGATAATGGTGGTAACAGTGGTCTGGATAATAGCGGTGCTGGTGTTAGACGTCTGGATAATGGTGGTGATAGTGGTCTGGATAATGGTGGTCTGGAAAATGGTGATGATAGTGGTCTGGATAATGGTGATGATTGTGATCTGGATAATGGTGGTGGTGATAGTGGTCTGGATAATGGTGGTGGTGATAGTGGTCTGGATAATGGTGATAGTGGTCTGGATAATGGTGGTGATAGTGGTCTGGATAATGGTGATAGTGGTCTGGATAATGGTGATAGTGGTCTGGATAATGGTGATATTGGTCTGGATAATGGTGGTGATATTGGTCTGGATAATGGTGGTGATATTGGTCTGGATAATGGTGGTAACAGTGGTCTGGATAATAGCGGTGCTGGTGTTAGACGTCTGGATAATGGTGGTGATAGTGGTCTGGATAATGGTGGTCTGGAAAATGGTGATGATAGTGATCTGGATAATGGTGGTGGTGATAGTGGTCTGGATAATGGTGGTGGTGATAGTGGTCTGGATAATGGTGGTGGTGATAGTGGTCTGGATAATGGTGGTGGTGATAGTGGTCTGGATAATGGTGGTGGTGATAGTGGTCTGGATAATGGTGGTGGTGATAGTGGTCTGGATAATGGTGGTGGTGATAGTGGTCTGGATAATGGTGGTGGTGATAGTGGTCTGGATAATGGTGGTGGTGATAGTGGTCTGGATAATGGTGGTGGTGATAGTGGTCTGGATAATGGTGGTGGTGATAGTGGTCTGGATAATGGTGGTGGTGATAGTGGTCTGGATAATGGTGATAGTGGTCTGGATAATGGTGATAGTGGTCTGGATAATGGTGATAGTGGTCTGGATAATGGTGGTGGTGATAGTGGTCTGGATAATGGTGGTGGTGATAGTGGTCTGGATAATGGTGATAGTGGTCTGGATACTGGTAGTGAAATATATGAGCATAAATCTTCAGAAACGTTTAGGCAGTTGAGGTGTTGGTTTGTGAGGGAGACACACCGGGTGACGGATGTGTATGTACTGTTGGTGCTCGCAGGACCCAGTCCTTAGCTCTTGGACCCCGGCTCTCCAACCTTCCGTTTTCTAATGTACTAACTCCCTATTTGTCCTCCGTTATCTTTACTATATATTTTTCTCTCTCACACACGCATTTTCAGGATCCATCCCGCATCAGCTGTCTAAATCCCAGATATAATACCTAATTATTGCTAGGTGAACAAAAGCACAAGTTAAATGAACTCTGTAAATTTATTTTTGCTTCGACCAGGAATCGAACCCGGGGCCTTAGGACTATAACCCGAGAGAGCTTGGCTTGGCTGCAAGGACCTGTGGTGTGTGTGTGTGTGTGGGCTGGTAGGTGAGTAGGTTCGGATGTAGGTGTGGTGGGTGGGTGTATGTGTGTGTTTAGGGTGGGCGTGTGTGTGGGCGGTACACCCCCCTCCTGGCCGCCTACGCTTCCCTAGTAAGGGGGGAGGACCTTGCCAATAGTAGGTGGCTCAGCTGGTGGTAGTATAAGTGTGAAGTATCTCAGGTGGTTCACCAAGTTGTGGAAGACGACACGAACACACGTGTAAGGTGGAGGAGACTCCGTGGCGGCCACGGAGAGCACCACCACACACATGCGGCTGGCGGCACTGGACACTGTGTGCATGTTTACAGGCCGGGGTGAGGGCGGCGGCACACTGGAGGCGGTGTGGTCACTGTGGCACGCGGCACGCTGACACGTGTGGCACATGGTCTTGACCACGTGGAGGACCACCTCCCCCTCTCCTCTCTCAGACGCTAACGAGGCTCAGTGGTGGAGGCCGGACCACGCAGAGTAGTTAGTCTCTTGGTCCCCCTCCAAGGCCAGTGACCGTAGGAGGAGGTGCTGACCTCGTAGAGGACGACCTCGAGGTCCCCCTCTACTGACGGAGATGATGGGGGTGATGGAGGAGGTGGTGACCACGTAGAGGACGACCTCGAGGTCCCCCTCTACTGACGGAGATGAAGAGGGTGCTGACCACGTGGAGGACGACCTCGAGGTCCTCCTCTACTGACGGAGATGAAGGGGGTGATGGAGGAGGTGGTGACCACGTGGAGGACGACCTCGAGGTCCTCCTCTACTGACGGAGATGATGGAGAGGGTGCTGACCACGTGGAGGACGACCTCGAGGTCCCCCTCTACTGACGGAGGCGCTGAAGGGGGGATGGAGGGGGGGAGTGGGGGTGGCCAGTGGAAGAGCGGGGGGTTCAAGGGAATAGGGGCATATAAGTCGGTATCTCCGGGTTGTGATTGGCTGGTGCGGCACCGCTGGTCACGTGACGTATAGACTCGACTCTGATTGGCTGGTCTCACGCGGTCTGGAGCTCAAGGTGACGTCACTGTTTTCCGTCACGTGACCAGTCGCCGCCATATTGGGACCGCGGGTGGACTACGGAGTCGATGGTTAACTAGACTTTGCTCAATATACACGGACTTTGAGGGTAATTGTGGTGGAAAGTAGTGAGTGATCAAGTAAGTAGCGGGCACGAGTGCAGTGAGAAGAGAGCCAGTGCCGCGAGTGGCGCCCACACGCGCATATTTGTGTCTCAAGATGAATCTGACAGATGAAACAGACAACTGGAGAACGCGCGAAACATTGAACACGGGTTTACCGCGCAACTTTGAATGTTGTCATGCCCACACCAACGTTTGCACCATCTCCCGAACTTGGATTTGGAGTGGATGGCGGCTGTAGAGGAATATAGAGGTGGTATGGAGGTGAAATGTGGGTGGTAGATGTGTAACTGGTCGGGTAGACCCCAGCCGGCGGTGGAGCTAAGGGCGCCGGCCGGGTACAGGGACGTAAGCCACAGCCGCCGAGTGGGATGACAAGCCCTCGGCTCTCTGGCACCGTGTGGGTCCTGTGGCTACTGTGGCTACCCTGTGGCAGGTGGAGGGGGGGTGTGGGGAGGTGTGGGTGGGCGTGGGGCAGGTGGGTGGGGTGTGGGTGGGCGTGTGGGCGGCGAGTGGGTTAGGTGGAGTGGGATGTGGGATACGCCGCTCATGTAGTGTGGAACAAAGCGGAGCGGCAGCAGTGCGGGGGGAGGGGGAGATGGGGAGATGGGGAAAGGGGGGGGGTTACAGGGGGGCGCACAAGTTGTACACACACACACACACACACACACACCGCCACGCACACACACTTACATACGCACACACACCCGGGGTCCAGGGAGAGGGGGGGCTCTGGGGTGCCTGGGGGCTATACCAGGTTTTTCACGCACATACGCACATGGACGTACACAGGCGTACATACGCTGACAGGGACGTAATGATGAAGGTGCACATAGCCTGCGAGGGACAATGTGCACACGGAAGTCTCGTGTGCATGTTAGGTGGTATGGGAGAGTTGAGTGTGCACACGACCCGCTCTACACGTACATACACACACACACACACACACATAGGATACGTTCACGCAGCAAACCACCCCTGTACAGCCACCCCCTCTCTTAACCCCCCCTTCCCCAATCTCTCCCCCCCCACACCTTCTCCCTCGCCACACCCCACCAACCTCACACACCCCACCAACCTCACACACCCACAACACCCACCTACTCACACTTGCAACACTGCTGCTGTACTCACCATCACTGGCTACTCAGCAAAAGTACACACACACCCTCTGGTCATACCTGCACATGCTTGTACCAAGAGCTATAGTTTATGTAAATTTGTTCAACTGTTAAATTTAGTATGCGCACGCGCGCTTCCAAACACACACACATGCACGCACTAAATATCCTCCCACGCAAACATACTCTACCAACACAGTTGCACTGAAGATTTTAAAAATCATTTTGAAATACCTTTGCCTACATAAACCCAGTCACCACACACATCTACACGTTTGTTCCTTTATAGTCACTTAAATTTACAAAGTCACAAACAAACATTTGACATATTTACCTGAATTTACCTGGGGGGCACATATACGCAAGTAAACAGTCTTGGGTACAAAACACAGGGACGGATTTGTTTACAAACACGCTACAACATAACATGCAGTAATTATTATAGTAAACACAAGAGGCTAACCATGATGTTGCCAAATAGTGGGAAAATTTATTGAGGCATTTCACTCACTCATTTTTTCAATCACACATACACATACATACATACATACACACATACATACATATGCATGTACATGCATACACATATGCACGTACATGCATACATATATGCACGTACATGCATACACATGCACGTACATGCATACACATATGCATGTACATGCATACACATATGCACGTACATGCATACATATATGCACGTACATGCATACACATGCACGTACATGCATACACATATGCATGTACATGCATACACATATGCACGTACATGCATACACATATGCACGTACATGCATACATATATGCATGCACATGCATATACATATGCATGTTCATGCATACACATATGCATGTACATACATACACATATGCATGTACATACATACACATATGCATGTACATACATACACATATGCATGTACATACATACACATATGCATGTACATACATACACATATGCATACACACATGAATGCACATGCATGCATACACACATGAATGCATATGCACATGCATGCATACATACATGCATGCACACACATGCATGCATACACATGCATAAACGCATGCATGCATACACACATGCATGTATACACGCATGCATGCATACACACGCATGCATGCATACACACACGCATGCATGCATACACACACGCATGCATGCATACACACACGCATGCATGCATACACACATGCATGCACACACACATGCATGCACACATGCATGCATACACACACGCATGCATGCATGCACACATGCATGCATACACACATGCATACACACACACACGCATGCATGCATACACACGTGCATGCATGCATATGCATGCATACACACATGCATACACATGCATGCATGCATACACACACGCATGCATGCATATGCATGCATACACACATGCATACACATGCATGCATACACATGCATGCATACACACATGCATGCATAGACATGCATATGAATATACATGCATATGCATACACATGTATATACATACATAATCATTCATACATGCATACATATTATACATTCATACACACATGCATACATTAGGAAGTGATGTGGTGGAGGCTGACTCTATACTCAGTTTCAAGGTAGATATGATAAAGTCCAATAGGCTCAGGAACCTGTACACCTGTTGATTGACGGTTGAGAGGCGGGACCAAAGAGCTAGAGCTCAACCCCCGCAAGCACAAATAGGCAAATACATATGTGTATATATATGCATACTCATTCATACACATGCATATACATGCATACATTTTAACCTGACCTTACACTGGAGAAGAGGAGAGAGAGGGAGGGGACCTGGTAACAACATAAAAGATTCTAAGGGAAATTGACAAATTAGATAAAGCAGCATTGTCCAAAGCTAGGAACAGCAGAACGAGGGGTCCTAGATGGAATCTGGAGACAGAAATGAGTCAGACAGCAGGAAGAACTTTTCAATATTAAAGCTGTAATAGGTTAGATTCAGAAGTCCCCGTGGTGTAGTAGTTAAGACACTCCCCTGGCGTTTTGCGAGCGCTTTGGCCTGGGTTCGTATCCTGGCCGAGGAGGATTTACTGGGCATCAATCCTTAACTGTAGCCTCTGTTCACCCAACAGTAAAATGGGTACCTGGTTGTTAGACGATTTGGTGGGGTCGTATTCTGGGGAACATTGGATGAAGAACTTGCCCGAAACGCTACGCCTGCTAGTAGCTGTACAAGAATGTAAGAACTCTTGTATATATAAATGAAACCAATTAAGTCATTGAAACAAATTGATTTCAAATTGAAAATGTAAATATGATAAAAGCCCGAGAATGAGTCATTGCATTAATATACAAACGTTCGGAAGGCTGGGCTATGAGCTTAGCATGACCCTGTAAGTACATTTAGGTGAGTACACATACGTCTCAACTTTCCTCATATCACAATTCGACACACAATAGATGTTTAGAAAAACACAAATATTGGTATTTTCCTTATAATGATCATACAGAAAATGGACTCGTCTATACACGTGTTGTGACGTGTATGTCCTTAACGCTCAAACAATGGTTTTCTCGTAAGGACGCTTGCACTTTAGGTACAGGAAAATGTATGTATAGTTCGCTTGTAACAAGTGTTCGCACCCTAGCACTTAACATTTTTAGGTAGGACACAAACGCTTAAGCACAACTCAAGTTCCATGTACCATATTTATGTTAGGCCTGATGGTATTATACGTATACACAGGCACATTTCAACACTCGCATAAGAAAAGACATGATGATGCATAAGCAGACACCCTAGAACTACTCCCAGAACCCCATCAAGCAGGTAACATTGTTTACACAATTGACTGCACTTCTGCACTCATTCAGTGTAGGTAGCTAATGGAATGCACTAGGCAGTGATGTGGTGGAGGCAGACTTCATACAACGTTTCAAATGTAGATATGATAGAGCCCAATAGGCTCAGGAACTTGTACACCAGTTGATTGACACTTCAGAAACGGGACCAGAGCCGGAGCTCAACGCCCCCTCCCCGCAAGCACAACTAGGTGAGTACTCAAATACAGAAACATTGAGAAAGTGTGAGCTCCATTCACAAGCTGGGATGTGTGTTGCGCACGCGTATTCTCTCCACTTGTCTGTGATATCCAGAAGATTATTCAGTGGATAAAAGATTACCGCACAAACAAGGACGAATCTTGGTGAAAAGTCGGTGTTGGGATAAGAATCAAGTGAGAGTTCCCCTAAGGTCAATGCTCGGACACATGCTGTTGATGTACGTCATTGACATACCTGAATACTTTGATGCCTTCGTGTTGATATTTTCTGATTGTGCTAAGTCGAGAAAAATTAAATTGGATGAGGATTGTCAGAAAGCTACAAAAGTTAACAGGCAAGCTGCAGATATTTCGCACCAGCTGAGAGGGGCAAGTACCACATAAACAGTATATCAACTAAACTATTGTAAACCCTGCAACAGAGGTAAGAAACGTGTGCATCATGGTATGAAACTGGGGAATCACATACACATTCTAATGCACACACCAACCATCAAACATTATCACATGCACAAAGTAATGGTGCGCACGGGAAATTGTATAAGCCTTTGAATACGACTGGTATTGGCGGCGTAAGTGTTAAATTAGCAGATCGGGACGGGGAGCCTGTATATTTTGAGAGGGAGGGATGTACTATTGCAGTGTTGCATGTTAGACCCATTGATATATGGTGGTGGGTTTGTGTGGGTGTTTATCATTCTCTTGACGCTTTTAAGGGGCCATGAAATTAGTTTTTTAAAAGTTCAATGTCAACCAATTGATTGGTATGTGAGACATAATAAACATGAAGCACCAGCGTAGGACACTCGTCTAGTCGGTCACCGAGCAGACCGTTATCGTGATTTACCACTACTTAAAAAAATACAACCTGCTATCCTAACCAGAACGTGCGAACTCGCTGAACCTATCGAGTACGACTCTAGAAAACATGCTTATATGTGAACCGTTACCTGAGGGCCTAGTGTCGATGAGGACAGGACGCCGGCAGCTTGTCAAAGGTCACCCATTTGTTCTGATAAGTTACTTAATAGGTTGCATTTATAATGTTATGATAAAAAAAACGCAACCTATTTGTTGAGAGGACGGGTTGCCT